ATATTTCAGTGTTTCGTTTTAGTCATTCTAATCCTTGTTGATTAGCAGCATGACCCCTAAAGGAAAAAGGAATAAAGCTCAAATCATACTAATTTTCAACAAAACACTCATCATAGATATGGTTTATTAGCCCAACAAAATAATGTATAAAATAAGCGTGTCATGTCATTTATTGTCAATTTATCTAGAAAATCTATAATATGTACACTGCATATACATAATATATGCAACAAAGCCAAATGTATGAAAACTTGATAATGTATAATTTGGAATTCATGTCCTACTTACACAGAGAAGTATAAAATTAAGTTATAACTTTCACAGGATTTTTCTTTTTCATCATTGTTGACACTCTTTGAGCATTCCACTACGTTATTTCTACTTTTTTTTTTCTTACCTTTCGCAAACTATATTTTTAACTAGACCAGGCCACACTGTAATATCTCTTGTGAGAGTCAGGACAAAGTCTTTGTATTTATAAAGATATATTTGTGTTAGGGCAATTTAATGGAGTTAAGTGGTAATGGAAGCAAAAATACAGTAATCAAGTATTAAAAGAAAATTGTGGCGAGAATGGAATAGTATTATAACTTGTGGAAAAACATAAGGCTACAGACTGGATGCAGCATTCTTGTTTTCTCGAAGGAATTCACATACACATAGCTGACCTGACTAGTACTTCAGATCTCAGACTGCTCTTCCACAGCCTTCTGTAAGGTTCTTTACTGTGCAAAGAAAATAAAAACAAAAACAAAAGCAAAAACAAAAAAAAAGAGAAAAAGAAAAAAGAACAAAAAAAAGCAAAACATTAAAAAACAACAAAAAAAATTCAACTGCAAAGTAGTGACTATTATTTCAGTGTGTCCTTCATATGAAAGCTATTAAGGACCAAATATATTGCTGTGTGTAAGAAGAAATTACTTGCTGAACAGTAACTGAAAATACTTAGCATTAACTTGCTGTGGATTTTGTCTTGGCAGTTGTCACCTTACATTATTTGTCAAAGGAAATGTGTTTGGCAGTTAAAAATCTTTCCTTAGATTTAGTGGTGGACTTTAACCTCTTAAGTAAATGTTAGTATATCAGATTGTGTCCTTGAAAAATATTTTACTTGTATGAATCATGACAATGTCTAAATCTTTACTATTCTTCTGGCAAAAGCATCAGTGAGAGAGAAGGACAGAAAGAGAAGTATAGCTGTTACATCAGAAAAAACACTCTAGCTGCTTACTTTCTCTTGAAAAGTAAAGATGTTTACAGTGTATGCCAAGATTTTCAGTTTCTATGTAACAACAGTTAGAGGTTCTAATCCTACTGAAAATTGTGTTGTAATGGCCTGAGCCATGTTGCTAGGAAACAATAGGTTCCAATTTTGTATTCCTGCTCTCACTCCTATGCTGAAAAGTGACTGGATACTGTACAGGTACATGTTCTCTGGCTGCAGTTAAATGGTCTTTTGCATTTTGCTCTGGCTTTCATGCCAGAAGCATGCATTTTTCTACAAGAGCATCACAACAACATGCTGTAAATATTTAAAGTTAAACATTATGTGTCGATATTTGAAAGAAAAGTACTTTGAATATTTCGTTTTTAAAAAATAAAGTTGCAAATGAGCCCTGTGTCCCATTTTATTCATGCGCCGAACTGCACTCTCAAATCAGTCTGCTCGCCTGCAATAGGGAAAGTGGCTCCCTGACATGAAACAATAAAAACCAGGTCATCTTGAAAATGTAGGTGTGGAAATAAAAAAGGGCGCTAATTCTAGCTGGACATCACTTCATTTTTATTTTTCATACAAACAGAATCTTTGATACAAATGAGCACTTAATAAACAAAGAGTAACTGCTGTGAATGTAAATGCCTCTAAGCTAAGACAATTATTATAAGATTTCATTCTCTCCTTTTGGTGACTTTCTCAGTAATAAAAAATTAAGATTTGCAAAAAGGGGTGAGGGACAACTAGGAGACCAGTGTGTCCAAATCATTGGGAAATAATAATAATAGTAATGAATATGGAGTAGGAGGTGGAGCATGAAAACAAATTTTAAAAAACAGCTTTTTTTGAGGCCGTGCCCCACAGGCAGTTCCAATTATCTTTGCCACTTATTTTCCACAATGAGACATTTTGAAGTGACACTGAAAAACTTTATTTTAAAGAGAGTAGTACAATAAAGAACAATAGCAAAATGCCAACATCACGGACATAAACAAAACAAAGCAAGAGCATTAAAAATGATACAGGGTTTCAAAACAAAGCGATAGGAATTAACAGTGGTTGTTATATTACATATTGTCATCCTCAACTATGTTGCTCAGATTACCAGACATATGAATGGAAGATTGTTCAAGCTATTAAAGAAAATTAAAAAGTAATTATTAAAAAAACATTAGAGACAAACAGAGTTTCACTAGACAAGATGGTAGGAATTCAACAATGGTTGTTCTATTGCATATTGTTGTCTTCAAATCAGTTGCTCAGATTGCCAGATATATGCATGCAAAATTGGTCAAAATATAAAAAATTTTAAGTGTTAACTGTTCTTTTCAGTAAATCACCAGACATGAGCATTACAGTTATCCCAGCTGTCCTTCTGTACACATATACATATCTTTACCTTCTTTCTTTTCCTTCTTTCCCTCATCCCAGTTGTTCCTTCCTTTGAGCAATTTCTATCCCTTTCATATTATCTATTGTACATTTTGGATTTTATTTACTCTTCCAGGTTCTTACACTAGGGAGACAATATGATGTTTACACCTGTGAGTCCCATTTATTTCACTTATAAGTATGGTCTCTAGTTGCACCCCTTTATCTGTATGAAAAACTTGATACTAGTGAGGTGCATATAGTCCAAACAACCCCCTACAAAACACGGCTTTATAGTACTGCAAAATGCTCTGCTGTTTTTTAGCCACTGAAATATACGTACAGATATGATTCATGACATGGAAGGCAACCTTGATTGTCTCAACATAACCCATCAGGAAAAGGTGAGAGGTGTATTTGTATCACTTGTGCATTTTTTCAAAATATATATCCCACTCAACTCTCAGGGCATCAAAAAAGAGCAGGAGCTCCTACATTCACACAATTATTAGAGAGCTTTCTCCATATTCATTCCTTATTCACCCTCACTTTCAGAGAGTTTTGAATATAAGTGCAATCAAACATGTAGTACTACCTTAAAGTTATGTAATTCTAGTACCTCAATAATCCTATGGGGTAAAAATTATTCCTACTTGGCAAGTGTAATAACAATATCCGGCTGACTAACCTGAGGTCACAGGGGTAATCAGTGACAGAGCTGAAAAGAAAATTCAGGTCTTCTACATTCTGGCTTTAACTCCTTCTGTCCATTGCTGAGTGTGATATCATTTTCTGTCATCTTGTGAGAAAACAATTCCATTCTCATGCGATGGTGTACAATTGAGATGTGTGCGTGTATGCGTGTATATATATATCCCATATATGTTTGTGGATGGGCTCGCTCCAGTTTGTCACATTTCTTGTATCATTCTACATTGAAAACTCTTCACTTAAGAACCAAATGGCCCGATGATAAAAATCCAGCCTTTCACTACAAGTGTGGCCAGTGACCCCCAAATTAGAAAACTGTTCAAACTAGGTAGCTTAACTTTACTTCTAGCTGAAAACTTAAAAATAATGGTACCCCATTTACTGCAAGGTGACAAAGTTGAATTCATAGCACCTTAACAGGAAAACCAGGCATCCTATAAACTTAAAATGCTCTAGGACAAATCTAGGCTTATTATTAATAAGTTCTTGATTCTGAGCTCAATAGAGTAAATCAAATAAAACATAAGCTGATATAGAAACATTCTTATCAGATTTCAAAACATTTCTAACTTCCTATCCATTCCACCCCAAAAGAATATCTTAAACTCAGCCCTTTGTACCAGAGGACATAATCAGAAGTATTCTCTGTAGACTTATTTTACCTATGCTGTACTTCAAGTTTCCCTGCCTGTAACAGTCAAACAGACAATTACCTAACCTTGTCTGCCTACTGAACTTCTCTCTTAAGAACAAATTTCAGAGGAAATGAACAAGTATTTGATAAGCTGACATGTTCCTTGTAAGCCTGCTAACATATTTTTTTTCTGAAGGGAGGCGTATGCTTGGAAATATATGTGCATTTTCCTACCTTGACTCAGCATCATCTTAGATATGGCCAGGATATGTCCTTTCCGTATATGCAACTTACTGCATACTGGGAAATAACAAGGATATTCACATTGGGAATGAAAAGGGAGGGAAAAACCTGGCAAATAAAAGATCAGCCAGAGAAGGTGGAAATAGGCTCACCCGCTAGAATGTTTGACAATAATAAATTAAGAAAAGCATGTATATTTTCCAAGGAAGCAGTCCAGTAAAACAAGTAAGATATTCTTCATCAATGCTTTGTTTATTAAGAGCTTCTGTCTCTGAATATTGTTAAAGTAATATTTTAAGACAAATTAGATAAATAAATCTTTCAAATACTTTGTTTCAATATGAAAGACCACTAATGATTCCAGGAAGCTTTTTCAAAAAAGACTCTCATAAAAGAACATAGAAATGTCATTCATATATTCAAGAACAAACAAATTAGAGTAACAATTAGTTACATGTACTAAAATTTAAACCAACCTACAAATAATTAAAACTTATTTAAATATATGCATTTTGGTTTTTTTTGTTTACAGTTACAAACAGCACTTTATTAAATATTCTGCCATTCCATTCTTTTTTAATTAAATTTTTGATACATTTAGATATACATAAGGATCACATTTATCATAGGGTACTCGTACCTATAGATAATATATCTTGCTTCTTCTTTTTTTCCCATGCTCCTCCCCTCCCTTCAACCCCTCTTCCCCTCCTTATTTAGAAAAGCTTTGTTTACACTGTTTCCTTCTTTTCTCTTTTTGCTTTTCCCTTCCTTCCTTCCCCCTCCCCCCACCATAATTCCCCTTCCAATTTGAACATTTTCTTCCTGTTTCACGATATCTATTACACATGTTGGTCCTTTTTTACACTTTTGTTTTCTCACACCAGAGAAACAGTGTGGAGTAGGCTTCTGAATGCCTTTACAAGTTAAAGTGATGCTCTTCCTTCAAGAAATGATGAGCTACCCACAATATACTACCATGGCCATACTTCACTATGCTAAATGTCTAAAAATCAGAACTTGCAGCACATAAAGAGTAGCTCTGGCTTTCAGCAGTGCGCTAGTTATTAACTAAGTTGACAGCATTCACGTACAACCCAAATTGCCATGTCATCCGTATACAATGAGACAGATTTTTCCTATGGACCAGAGTATTTGCGCTGATTTGCCTTTCCTCTAAAGCCAACTCTACCTACACATAGAGAACCTCACTTATGTACTTAACAACTTTTATTATTATTGTGTGTGCCTTTTAAATTTTCTTTTATTATCTCTTACTATTACAATTTTCTTGGCCAATAAGACAGTGGATATCTGAGGGCAGGGCCCAGATATTTTTACTTCTCTACCCCCAGTACCCTATTATGTTTGTTGAACAGATGAATTATTTGAGTCATAAAGCAACATGGCATACAGTCAATCACAAACTTGTAAAGATATAAATGTGAGAAGAAAATACATGCAAAATTTTGACTCTTACTTAGGTTTCAGTCACTCAGAATTGTTAAAAATTAATGTAAGCATAAGCTTTCAAGTAGACTTGTCAGGTTACCAATAGGGAGACTGATTACACATCAGTTAACCAAGAGCTCTAGTTGCCGAAAATTCCTTTGCAAATGAGGTTTTACATAGAGTAGAAAAAATTGGGGCAGAGATAAATGAGAAGAAGAAAAACCTACATCATCAGATTTCTAAATATAATTTCTTATCCTATACCATCAAATACAGTAAACATTTACAAGTTATTTTAAATTATAAGATTTTAAACTCCAGATTGGTCAGTGGATTTTACTGTCTGACATCAGAATACTAGACAAGAAAGTTACTTTCAAATTTAAACAGGAATCCTTCACTGTTTACCTAGTACTTGTGTCAGTGGACAGTTTTATAAATCCCCAAAGGGCCTATGACACCATAGACAGAGGAGAACTGTATGTGACAGAGGTGGGGGACACCAACTACATTCTCAGAATACACTCAGGAAATCAGTAATTATCAAATGATATATCACTGTAATTGGTGCTTTGACAAAAGCTAGGGATTATTTTTATTTATATTTGGCAAGAATCGACATTAATGTTTTATCAAGTATTCATTATATCTTAAATTATTTCCCATTTGAAAATACGGTAACTGAAAATAACCTATGGAATTATTTTTCCCAATCTTCATTTCAAAGCTTTTCGTTATCTACAGTGTCCATTTCAGCTTTAATATGAGGCACAGTGCTTTCAATGCAGGACTACAGTGGTGCTACAAATGCATTTATAGCTCACTGAACTAACTGTATTATCTACATGACACAAGACTTAGCATGTATTTAAATTATTGAAAATAAAGTACAAGGTGTTTTCTTTTTCATCATGGTGCTTTCAGGAAAACATCAGAATCTCTTCTCCCTAAAGAAAAAACAACAATAATCATGAAAAGATAAATTTACACAGTATTGAAATTATAGATTAACTCAAACTTGTAAAATTTTCCAATGGCACAAAACTCACAATAATACAACACAATGATATATCTTGAGCAGCTATTATTTAAAACTGAGTGATAAAGAAGGGAATACCGAGCAGAAAAGAACAATTAGCCAATTTGTAAATTAGAGTTCTACTTATATTTCTATTCTAAAGGCTAACTACTCATTAATTTAGCTCACTACTTGAATTTAATTGTTAGTTTATGCCCAAGCCTGGGTCCCTGTCAAAAACAGATATAAAAATGCATTTTCTTTTATCATGAATATTGATTGTTTCAATCAGGGTATATCTTCTCACTCCAGAAAACCCCTTTCCGTAGAGTAACATGTCAAATATCTACAAACATTGGCTGCTAGTCACTCTTCAGAATGACACATACACTATAATAGCTTTGCTCGGTAGATGTTACATCTGTGCCAGTATAACAATAAAGTTTAATAATTTAATTTCCTTTGCTAAAGTAAAATGCATTCTTGAGCACCAACAACAGTTTCCTAAGCAAAGGTAAATGCATAGCCCAGGTATTCTCTGAATTATCCATCTGTCAAATCATTTGTGCCTACATTAGTACGGTGAAATGGTAGTCATGTATCTATAAAATGGACCAGAAGAACAACATGAAATAAGAAATTAAAGTGTGGCCAGGTAGAATTTTTTATATTTTTGCTACAAGCTTATTTTACTACAAGCTTACAATATGTCATATTGAGATTATAGCATAAATTAATCATCTATCACTTGATTTGTTGGGTACATCTACATTCTCATTGCATTTTTCTTACAGAACTTCCAGTTGATTTAATGCTTATCAGTAGGTTGACTCCAATATCTGAGCTTCCAAATCCTGTCAAAAATGAACAGTAATTATACCTATAGTACCTTGTGTACTTCGAGCTGAGGAATTCTCAACTGGATACTGCAGAGGTATTATGATGCCTTGGTCTGGCTTCTGAAATGCTGAAATGAGATTTTTTATTTTCCGGAAAAATCTTTTATGTACCCCAGGTGCTGTCTGGAAAATAAAAGTTCAAGCAAATTATTTACCTACTTCTTAACGCTACCCCTAAAAAAACCGAACCCTACAAAAAAATGCAAGGGATGCTCAGCAAGGTAGCATTTGTGTAACGTGATCAAATATCTGAAAACATAAGGAAGAAAAAATAAACATTCCAAAAGAGCTTACTTTGGTTGGCTGAATATCCCTGCAAGAGGATCTAATGAGCTGTCATTTCAGTTCTCCCGAGGGTGGTGTTAGTTTGTACAAGCTCTTGCTCATCGGCCTGCCCTTCTTGCCTGCTATACATCATACATCCTGAACCTCTAAGGGTATATAGGCCATTACCCACAATCAGTTCAGCAACAGAGGGGATGCAGTTAAACACAGAAAAAGCACAGATCCTACAGATCATTAATAAAAAGCCTGAGGAACCAAAAAACTAAAAACAATAACCCATCCTCCCCTTCTTCATTCTATAATATAAAATACTGCACAGGGAATTAAAATTTGACTGTTATGATACACGCAATGCACGGCTACTTAGTCCTTATACTCTTTCACCTCACAATATGTCCTACTTCATCCTTCACATTAATTTTTTTCTTCCTTAGGAAACTTCTCTATCCTTCCCCAAATTGCTGTCTCTCTCAGCACTATGACAAGGTTTTCTCTAAAACATGAAAATGAAAGACTATCTAAGGTCACCTTTATTTATTTGTTTTTAAAGAGATCATTATCTGCAGGTGATTATTAAAATACATTCCTTCCCTGACATCAGGTCTCTTACCAAGATACTGCCTGAAATCAACAACAATTTCCTGCAAAACTTGAGCCAAACTTTAGTCATCAGCTCAAACTGTCATTTTACATAAAGTAAAATAGTAGTGCTGTGAGCAATTGAACAATGAGTAGAGTTTTGTTTTTTTTTTTAAGGAAAGTTGTTTTTAGCTATTCCATATGGAAGATTTTTTAAATGGAAGCTGGGATTTTTTTTTTTTAGCATTTAATGAAAAAACATGAAGGCTGGCATGTAGACTTCTGTCAACTAAATAGTATGCTGGAGCTAGCACACCTTCCACAGTAACTCTCAGTCATTCCCCACACTGGGATAAGTAATTCCTTGTAAGAAATACTGCAAAAGTTGCACAGGTTCAAGCAATTCTTTGGCTCTTAGACAGAATCTCCGAATTGCAAAGCTATGCCATAAGCCCAGAATACTTCCTTGCACCTTCGTTGGAGTGCTTTTTCATTTTCAAAGTACTCTCCTATCTAGACCCCCACTATATTTTCACAGACTTGCAGTTATTGACTGATTGAGTTATTCACATTTGTCAATAAAAAATGTAAATCTAGGAAAATTAATCAGCTTGTGTAGGGTCCCACAGATAACTAGAAATATGTGAATTGCCTCTGAATCCCTTTAATATTGGGACTGGATCAAGAAGCTTCAGTGAAGCTGCAGTCACCAACCAGAGAAGAAAGTATACACTCCCCCAGTGTGGAAAGATTTTAAACCATATAAATTTTTAGCTGTTATTATGGCTTGTAAAACCATTTGTCAACGGAAACATTGTGTTTATGGGGACTGATATGCAGTTAACACTTGATTATCCACACTAATGGAGGAATGATAGCATTGGATGCATAGAAGCAATCTGAATTTGGGATGCAATGTTTCTTTAGCAAATGTCTCACCTAATTTTATAACGATTTTCTTAGGCTAACTAGTAAAAGTATTGAGTATCAACTGCTCTTCTACTGCTCGAATACACAGAAAAGCCCCCAAGGCATTAAAGTTGGCAGAGAGGTCTGTAAATTCTTTACAACGTACCACTGACAGTTCACATATAAATAAATGATAGTAGACTCTATGTAGAATTCTGTGAATTAACAAGCAAAATGTTAACCCAAGTCCCATAAAGTAAGTTGATATTTTAGGCAATGGCCTAAAAATTACGCATCATATTTGTCTTTCTTAGTTCATGGAATCCAAGCTTCAATTTCACCCCACTCCTCAAAAGAAATCTCAGACTTACCCGGATTGCTAGCACATTCTTTGCACAGAGAATGGAATGCCAGTGCCATGATTTTTTCCTGCAGCATGGCAAACGGAAATGTTGTTCCAAAAAGCTGTATAAATATCTATCATTTGCCCAATTTTGAAAATACATTTACCACAAAAATTGTACCCCTGACAACTCCTATCCTGTCACTAAACTCAGCTACTTTTCAAAGTTGTACATTTCCCATGCTGTCACCTCTTAGTTATCCATGGAAACATGTTCTGGATCACCACTGGTCTTCATACGCTCTAGAGAAATTTCTTACAGTCAGGTGGTATGAGTTCTGAGAATGCACACTAGTTTAATATTCACCTTAGCAAAGCATAACTGAGAGGCTAAATACAGTAGTCAGAAAAAGCACAAAACTGATTGCAGAAAATATAGAATTGTTGAGCTATTTTGTATTTTGGAATAATCCATGCCCGTCTTCTGCTATCTTGGTGCAGATAATGACAATATTATTAAATATTGTCTAGACAATGAGGTGAGAGGGAGTTTATTTTCAGTAAACCCTCTCCTTCTTAACATGATCACAAGCATGCAGCAATTAAGAGCAAGTTTAGAAACAAGACTGTTAAACCCTAAAAAAAAAATCTAAGATTCTTTCCATAAAGAGTATGCTTCAGCAGCTGAAGGGTGCTTTTCCAGAGAAAAGGGTTACTTCTATCAAATAAAATACAAATATGTATCTATGATTACATTATGCATAGCTATTCTTCATGATAAATTAAGTTTAACTTCTTATTTAATTATCTGCAGTGATACAGAGAATTTTTTTTCAAAATAAATAGGCATACACTGTTTTAATTAGAAATGGTACTGTTTTTCCTTCAGTTAGTATACAGTATTAATTATTCTGATATAAGTTAAAATGTATTTGAAAATTTGCCCTAATTCATCTCAGAAGATCAAAAGATTTGTAGTCTATAATTTGTACTTTACAATTTACTAATGAATTTGTAAGCGTAGAGCTATTTTAGTTTTAAGTCTAGATTTTAGAGTTTCTTAAATGAATGGATGTTATTAATAGAGTTAATATTAACATTTATGTTCCCAAAAGCTCATAATGAAGTACTTTCATTATAAATATGGAGTATTTTAAAGAGTGAGAACACAAAGAAATCATTTAAGTTATGAAATTTCAGTTGCAGAGACTTTGAGGATTGGTAAAATATGATAGTCCATAATATTCTGGTCCATGGAAATAGATTTCACTCTACAGGCATTTCTTGGAATGGTACAGGGGCTTTCAGACACTTTCAAAGAAACAAGAATTCTTTGTTTTAAAGAAATCTTATTCCGAGCCCTAGTTTATAACCAAAATAAAAGAGAACTGCTCAGATTGATGCCAAAGTAGATATCCAGAAATATATCCACTCACCTCCTCCCACCTTCTGCAGCACCTCGGAAGCCCAGAGACCCAGTTACAAGAGCACTATGGTTCTGTAGAGCATAGCTTAAAAACATTGCAAAATTTCCTCCTCCATATTCCAACTATCCATAGCCTTCCAATGTGTCTCACACAGGAGTCTTGCCCCCACCACACACACATAAAGCAGCATCCATTACCCTTAAGGCTTTGAAAATCCTCCCTCTTTTGAACTATCATCATAGATAGCTTTGCACTGAACTATATGTAAGCATATTGTTCTAATATTTTCAAAATGTCACACTTTTGTGGGCTCACTATATGACAAGACCTGTAGCTAAGAGCTTCATTACCTGCACTGTCTCCTTTATTCTACCAAATGAGCCTTGTGAGTAAGGAATTATTGTGAGGTTCATTTTACAGATGAAGAAGCTGACTCACAGAAATGTAAGTACAGTAACCTGTCCAAAGTCATTATACCTACTGGGCAAAGGACAGGTTGAACCACACCTGGAACGTAGATGCACTTTACAACAAAGCCCAGGATCTTACACTGCTGTTCACTCCCATGCCATAGCTCCCTCAGGATGTCGTAGACTCAGAAATAAGAATAATATTTTATTGACTTTTATATGCTTGATAAAACTTTGTATAGGTACTAACTAAAAGTTTGACATCCTCTTCCAACATTTTTGTACTTCTGAAGTCATAGCACTCCACACAAAGTTGGCGGAATGACTTTAGGAACAAAATTCTTTAAAGAATTCTTCTTCTGTTTTTTAAAAATCTCTTTTCTCTTCTTTCCCTCCCCCCTCCATCTTTTATTCCCATTCCCATTTTAAAAAGATTTCCTTACTTCCCATTATATGTCCTTTATTTTGCCCTTTACATTTGGGGATTCTCATAGAAAAAGCCACCATGCAATATTTAAACTTGTGTGTCTGATTTATTTCACTTAACATTATAGTGTCGAGGTGCATTCACTCACTTGCAAATGCCTAAAATATGATCCACGAACAATTTTGTTATAGGAGTTTTAGTGATTTAAATCTGATGAATATATTGGTAGTGTATGATATGAATTTTCCTTTATAAAACCAACCTAAATTTCAAACACACCTCCCTGATACTCACTGAAACAAAAACAAATAAAATTGAGTACTGTACCTCAGCACTCCAAGAACCCGTTTCTGTCTGGGACACTCGGTATGTATAAATGTAACCTTGATACCTGTGAAAGAATAAATTTTCGTTACTGAAAATTCCAAAAGAACAATGAATGCTCTAAATTTGAACTTTCTATTAATGTTAGAAATAGAAATTACTATTATAATTACTTATTACTTATTATAAATGTTACACACCAGGACACACATCTCTGGAACCATTGCATTCATAGGAAGCAAGTGACTCTAACTTGCTTACATATTATATACACCTAATCACACACTCCAGTGGGCTTTCATTATCTTCTTATTTTTTTCAGTGTGGAAGCTCATGCTTCTAAGGATTTGTTTAGTTGAGACACTGTACAGAAAGAAACTAGAGAACTATTCTAATTGATAAAAATCATGAATTATTAGAAATTTTAACAAACCTTAGGGTTATTTTTTAAGTACACATAGAGCCTGACACTGAAAACATATCACTGGAATAAGACACTACCACACCCACATAAAATAATAGTAACATTGATAATATTAATTAGACAAATAACATAACTGTAATAGTATGAGCTTATAACATTGCAAGAATATAACTCTACTCTTACCACTATTGCAATATATTGTAATACAAGATTACTATACTACTGTTAAACAGATTATACTAATATAGTAACAGTAATTTGAATTTAGAAGTTACATCATAGAATATTATTCAGCCTTAAAAAAGAATTAAATTCTGTCATTTGCAGCAACACAGATGGAACTGGAGGACATTACAAGTATGTTAAGTGAAATAAGGCACAAACAGAAAACAGTGTATGTTCTCACTTATATGTGGATGCTAAATGTTGGTCTTCAAGAGGAACAGAATATAATAGTGGTTACCAGATCCTGGGAAGGGTGTAGGAGAGGAGGAAGGAGGAGAGGATAGTTAATTGCTACAGGGGTGCCTTTCCACAGGAAGAATAAATGGGACTAGTCCACATAGCGTGAAAAGATAACTATGGCTGACAACAACTATAAGTGTATATTTCACAATAGCTAGTAGAGAGAATCTTAAGTGTTCTCAACACAAAGAAATCATAAATGTCTAAGGTTATGGATATACCAATTACCCTGATCTGATCGTTACATATTATATACGTGTACTGAAATATCCAATTACCCTGAATATGGGTATGCCAATTACCCTGATCTGATCATTACATATTGTGTACATGTACTGAAATATCAGACATTATGTGTCAGTTAGAATAAAAAACTCTTAAGGAGAAAGAAGGAGTGCTGCCAATGCACTAGAAAACAGCTTGTCCTTTTAAATGCAACAAACATTCTCTATTATTCAGTTTACATGCACATTGCATGCCTGTATAATTGATTTCTATTATGTGCCAAGAGTTTTACATGCTGTATTAGTTTGCTCAGCCGCCATAAAAGACTACCGCACACTGGACGGCTTGTACAAAAGAAATGTATTTCTCACAGTTGTGGAGGATAGAAGGCCTAAATCAAGGTGCCAGCCAGGGAGGCTTTATTCTGAAGTCTGTTCTTTTGACTTGTGAGTAGCTGCCTCCCCACTGTGCCTTTCCTCGGTGTTCAAGCACTGGTAAAGAGATAGAGATCTTCCTCTTCCTCTTCCTCTTCCTCTTCCTCTTCTCATAATGCCACCAATCCTATTAGATGAATGCTCCACTCTTATGACCTCATTTAACCTTAATTGCCTTCTAGAGATCATATCTCCAAATACAGTCACATTGGGGTAAATGCTTTAAAGATATTTGGGCACACAATGTACTCTATAGCATTCCATCCCTAGCCCTCCAAAATTTATGTCCTTCTCCCATCCAAAATACATTCATTCCATCCCAATGGCCCCTAAAGTCTTAGCTCATTTCAATAACAACTCTAAAGTTTTAAGTCCAAAGCTTAATCTAAATATCGTCCGATCATGTGAGGGTGAGATTCAAGGTACCATTCACATTAAGGCAAGATTCCTCTCCAGCTGTGAACTTATGAGACCAGGTAAGTTACGTACTTTCAAAATACAGTGGTAGGTGGACATAAGATTGACATTCCTGTTCCAAAAGGGAGATATCACAATTACAGAGTGACAGGTTCCAAGCAACTTCAGAAATTAGCAAAGCAAAGTTTACTGGATTTTGAGGCTCCAGGATAATCTTTTATTCAATATTCTGCCCTTCAAGTCCACTTGGACAGTAGTGTTTCCCTCATTTCTCTTGACGGAAGGACAGCCTCACCCAAGCAGCTCTGTTGGGCCTCAGTACTATGCTTTGAAACTAAGGTAGAACATCTTTATTTCCAGACATACGCACTCTGGGCTTGTGGGAGGAGCAGCAGCCTTGATAATCTCTGAACTGCCTTCAGGGACATTGTCCCTTTTTCTTGAAGGATAAAGCACGTTTTCAGTGAAGTGCTCTACCAAAGTGCCCTGTTCTCTTTGGTGCAAACTGGCAGTGTCTCTGTTACCTTGGTCCAAACTATGCCTGGATTCTGCTGAAATAGCTCATTAACATCATGGACAATCTCCTGAAGGACTGATAGTCCAGTCACACCCTTGGTGTTTTCTCTACAATTTGCAATAGGCTGAGAACTTTGAAAATCTTTAAAATCTGGTTCCTTTTTACTTAAGGATTTCTTCTTCAATTCATCTCCTTTCTTTTGCTTTTTACTACAAGCAGTCTAAAAGAACCAAGCCACTCTTTTAAAACTTTCCTTAGAAATATCCTCAGCTGGGGGCACTGGGGATGTACTTCAGTAGAAGAAAAAGAAAAAGATTAGGAGGAAAGAAAGGAAAACAGGGAGGGAGGGGACGAACCTCCTCAGCTAAGTGTCCAACTTCTTTGCTCAAAAAATATATCTACAAAATACTACAACACACTTCAGCCCCATTCTTTGCCACTTTATAATAAAGATCATCTTTCTTCCAGGTTCCAAAAACATGTTCCTCATTTCCATTTGAGATTCCACCAGAATAAAAATGTGTGCATCTCAAAATATTCCTCCAGCCTCTACCCATTTTCTGGGTGTAAAACCACTTCTACATTTTTAGGTATTTGTTACAGCCTACCCCACTTCTCAGTACCAAAATCTGTATCACTTGCTTAGGCTGCCATAACCAAATATCATAGATTTAAACAATATAAGTTTGTTTCTCATTGCTCTAGAGCCTGAAAAGTTCGAGATAAATGTGTTGGCGGGAAGGTTGCATTCTAGAGCCTCTTTTCTTGGCTTGTAGGCAGCTGCACTCTTAAGGTAGGCTCACTTGACTTCTTTGTATATCTGTTCTTCCTGTTCTTATAACATCATCAATCCTATCAGATTAGGACCCAATCCTTAGGAACTCATTTAACCTTGATTACTTCCTAGAGGTCTTCTCCAGAAGTACAAACTCACATGAATTTCTGAGGCACATAACTTAGTGCATAGTATATGAATTATCTCCTTTGGACCCCACAGAAAATCTTATCACCTTTATATTATGAAATTTGTCTTATAGATGAGGAGACTGAGAAATGACCAAAGCCAGAGAAGAGATCAAGAAGTAAAGATGAGACCTGAATCGGCCCCATTTGACTCTAGAGCTCCAGGTCTTGGTCCTCACACTGTAATGGATATATAGATTTATTATATTTTAGTAAATATGGTAATGCTACTTAATTTGCCTAATTAACTTTTAAATTTTTTATCAATTATATTTACTTTAATGGGTGCATAAAAACATAAAATTGTACATATTAATTCAGTACCATGTGATATTTTGATATATGTATAGATTGTGTAATCTTTAAATTGGGCCAAACATACCAATATACTCAGACACTATAATTTCTTTATCATAAAAACCTTCGAAGTCCTTTCTTGTAGATTTTTGCAATGGTATTTATAATCACCCTACCATACGACAGTACACCAGAACTTCTTGCTCCTAATTGTAATTGAGTACCCACTGATCAAACTCTCCTCATCCCTTCTTCCTCCCTGTACTTCCCAGCCTCTGGTACGTACCACCCTACTCTGAACTCCTACAGGATCAACTTTTTAGATTCCACATATGAGTGAAATCATGTAATACTTGTGTTTTTGTACTTGACTTACGCTGCTTAACAAAATGAGCTCCAGGTCCATTCACATCATTGCAAATGACAGGACTTCCTTCTTTGTATGAGTAGTATTTCAGTGTATATACTGTATGCACCACATCTTCTTTACCTATTCATCATTTGGTGACATTTAGGCTGTTTCCATCTCTTGCCTATTGTGAATCCAGCTGCAATGAAGATAGGAGTGCAGAGTCTCTCAAACGCACTGATTTCATTTCCTTTGAGATGGAATTGCTGGGTCATGTGGCAGTTCTATTTTTAATTTATTGAGGAAACTTCATACTGTTTGCCATAATGCCTGTACTAATTTACATTCTCACCAACAGTGTATGAGTATTCACTTTTCTCCACATCCTGGCCAGCACTATTTGTCTTTGCTCTTCTTGATAATAGCCATTCTTACTGAGTGAGGAGATCTCTTTGAGGTTTTGTTTGCATTTCTCTGATGATTGTTGCTGAACATTTGTATAATTTGCCCAATAAACTTTACTTCAGTAAAACTGCCATGGAATAAAATTTTATTAGGCAAATTATAAAAAGTATACTAAAAAGTTTGAATCTGAATATGAACCAACATGGTTTTATTTAATGCATTTCCTGGTTACTATTACTGGGCACAAGTTTGGATCAATAGACATCTTTAGCTGGGATACACACTAAACTCTGGTTAAGATCAATGTGTTTCAACTTAAAAGAACAGATTATGCTACAGTATTAGAAAGAAAGTCATGCCTGAGTCATTCACATTTGCTATTAACTCCCTTTAGAATTAGAAATCTTTAAATAAGTGCATTAAATTACTATTCGTTTAATTTATATTTGTCAGTACTGACTACCTAAAGAACAAAACACTGAAACATTCTAATGAGGTTCATCTGATTTGTGATATTGAGCAAAAAGGTCAGTTTAACTGCTGGTGTGCTCAGATGAAATGTTTTGTTTTT